CACACACACACACACACACACACACACACACACACACACACACACACACACACAAAGCAAATAAATAAATGTAGATACTGTTCTAAGAGACCCAGAAGATATAAGCAAATAAATGCATCATACATGAATATACAGTCAGTGCCTCACTTAAATTCATGATGGTCCCATAGGTCTTTATAAACATTCTATCACTGTCAACGTACTAACAAAATAAAAGGACAATGAACAAAAGCTACCACCCTTAAGTTCATGCTGTACCAAATCCTACCAATGAAAAGTTCTTACCGATGAAATTAAATCCTCCATTGTTTGCCTGTTGTTACGGTGATGTACGGAAAGCTCTGTTATGCAATCATCATCAAGGTGAATCAACTATAAAATACAATTTCATAAACTGTTACGTTTACAAATATATTCTTCTGAAACTTAAAAATCAACATAATCACTTCAAAAAAGTCCAACAGCAACATGTGGAAAGAACATGAATTTATCAAACTTTTGGGTATACATCAATATGCATGATTTTTTTTTTCTTTTTGCAGTGCTCAGACTGGAACCCACAGTCTCACATTAGACAGATGCTCTCCTGCTGAGCTACATTCTCAGCCCACTAGTCCTCATTTGTCCACAAGCAATCAGAGGCCAACAACATTTCAAGAAGATGAGTTCTTTCCTATCCCATCACCTGACTGACTGTTACAGTGTTTCCACGCTGTAAAGGGTCACATTCCTCCTGCATGTCTACTCCAAGCCTGTCAGGCATTTCCTTCAAAGAGCAGCCATGTTTAGAAATCAGCATTGACACAAATGGTCAATGGGTGGCTCTGACTTGTGTCATGTTTAGGTCTGCACCATCCCAGGAGGCCTTGTGACAGTGTGTGACAGATGCAACACAACCACCTTCACACAGAAGGTACAGCACACCATCGTGCTGAAACATTGAAACTCTCTCTGCTTCAATTCCAATTTGCTTAAGGACAGCAATGACAAGTCCTCAGACCCCTGCATCGTGGACCTCACTAAGAACAAAATGACAGGAATGGCCTTGTCTGAGCTGGAAAACACTCAGAAGACAGAATGTGAAGAGAATCACAAGGAACATGATTTCCAAAGGAAGACCTCTTTGCAACAGCTCCAAGAAATAATGTCTTTCTTTCTGCTTCAAGTGCCCCTCTGTAGGGAAGTTGGAACAGCCGGGGTGCTCAGCCTCACCCTGTCACCTATGTCTGTCCCCATGGGATCTCCAGCCACCGAGTCAGTGCAGCCTGACAGCTCACAGGCTTTGAGATTAGACACATCTTGGTTTTAATTGTGACATCACTTTATAACCCTGTGACCTTGAGTGTGCCACTACACCTTGTTTTACATCTGTAAGAGAGAGATGGTACCTGCCATGCCACATATGTAACACACGGGAACATTCAAGTATAGCATCTAAACAAGGCCCCCAAAAATGGTTAACTATTTTTATTAATATACACAATCCTATTTCCTCTTTAACTTGATAACCTTTCAGAAATTTAAATATACCTGTTACAGGCCATTTTCCCCTCTAAATGATACAGCAGTATCAGATACAACAGTATCATGACCCACCCTCATGCAGAACATCATATGAGTGTAACAGTGAGCTCAAGAGAAACTTATCCCACCATCATGGATGGAGAGAAACAGAAAAGATGACCTTTCTGTGATCCATTGCTTCTGTTCCTTAAAAACTAGATGCTGAATCCTAATGGCCAACGTGATAGGAGGTGGGGATTTTGCAAAGTGATAAGATATGAGTAGGATCTGTCCTCCTGAACAAAAATAAGCCTCAAAGGCATCCATCCTTCATTCCTTCCACTATGGAAGGATGATACAATGTGAAGGAAACAACCACCCAATTTATGGTATTCTGTTCTTGGAGGTCGAACACACTGAAGAAATCAAGACAAACTTGCACTATTGGCTGGACAAGCACAAACTCAAAGGTTATTTAGAGAAAAAAAAAAAGTACAGATTCCTCATTTAGGATGATCTCAACCTCAAAAGCCCAAACACTTCAACACCCAGTTGGACATCTTTTTATTAATATCATAGCTCAAATAAGAGATTTATGGAGTTCTTTCCAGATTCTAGCTATCCCCTAAACAGGAAACACTTCTCAGCCAGGTATGGTGCCACATGTAATTCTAACACACTAGAGGTTAAGACAGGAAGATCAGCGAGGTGATGGTGGTGCACACCTTTAGTCCCAGCACTCTGGAGGCAGAGGCCAGAGGATCTCTGCATTTGAGATCAGCCTGGTCTATGGAACAGCCAGGGCTACACAGAGAAACCCTGTCTCGAAAAAGCACAAAAAGCAAGCAAAAAAACAAAGAAAGGGGCCAGACTGGACTATGTAGCAAATTCAAAGCCAGCATAGGCTATATAGGAAGACCCTATTTTTATTTTATATTTTAAATATTTATTTTAACTTTATATGTATATGTGTGCCTGAGTGTATACATGTGTACCACCTGTGTCCTGGAGCCCAAAGAAGTCAGATCCTTTGGAACTGGAGTTAAAGATGGTTTTGAGTCACTATATGGGTGCTGGGAACTGAACCCAGGCCTCTACAGAAGCAGTAAGTGCTCTTAACTGCTAAGCTATCTCTCCAGCTTTGGGAGAGCCTATTTTTAAAAGAAAAATAAGGGGAAAAAACAACAAAAAACAACCAGGCCTGGCATGACGGCATAGTAAGTAAAGGCTCCTGCCACCAAGCTCAATGGCCTGGAATGATTGTAGGCCCCACATGGTAGAAGGAATGTGAACTTCTCTGGCCTTGTCTCTGTCTGTCTGTCTGTCTGTCTGTCTGTCTCT